AACTTAATGTCTTTGGACTGTGGACAAAATAGGACATTTGAGCCCCCCCCCCCGAGCTTGGGCTTTGGGAAACTTATCAACATTTTCCAGCTTTTTCTGACATTTTATGGACCAAACAACTAATCAATAACTAAAGTAAATGATCAACAGGTCAATTGATAATGAAAATAATAGTTAGTTGCAGCCCTACGGTATAGAATTACACTGTCTGAACACACAAATGTGATCTTGTCATCAGCAAATCGCCGTACACCCGCAGCTCACCCTCAGATATCTGTAAATCACTTCAGGCTGCTTTCCGATCTTGCGGAGGTCGGCCTCCAGTTGGAAGCTGTTGGTGGGCGGAGGAGGAAGGTCTGTGACTGGCGGGGAGGGGCTGGCTGATGGTTCCGGAGGATGAGCGATTTCCTCCTGCGCTGGCTGTTGGGTCTGTCTGCTCGAGGGAACTCTGGGAAACAGAAACAGAACTCGGTGGTAATAGTCGATACCACATTCCACGACATAATGCAACATTGAGTGCTTTACAGGTGTGTCAGAATCACACAGAAAACAAAGGAAATAGAAGAGGTAGAGCCGCTAACCGGTCAGATGAGTGTGAAGGGACTTCGGCTATCTCCTCGATCTTGATCATCTTGGCGCTGGGTGATGTGGACAGTGGAGAGGACTCGTCCTCAGCCTCCCTCTCCACTTCCTGGACGAAGGACTTGGACCCACATGAGTCCACCTCAGACACTGACACCTTTCCACTCACTTCCTCAATTTCAATCCTCCTCAGTGGTTTCTGGAGAGCATTAGATGTTCAGTGAACGTGATGACACAGTTCATTAAAAAAACTCTTTCAAAATAAAATACTGAATTGAATTCTAGTAAAAACATTACTAGATGAAGATTACAGAATCCAGACTTCAATTTAATTTACACTGTCTATCATGCCATCTGCTGGACAAATAATGTTACAGCATGTAAACATGATTAAAGCATGGAAGACAAATTGTACGTTACTTTAATCAAGTTATCTGCTTTTTACAAGTAGAAATCGTATAAAGAAAAATGAATCACTGACACATAACAATTAATATAATTTTTTCCATTATTTAATATTTTAGCCAATATCTCAACTTCCCTGAGCCCAAAATTATGTCTTCAAATTATTGGTATCAGTATTCAGAGGCAGTATTTTCACCAAAAAAGACTGCAATGAAAAGTATAATTATAAATTCAGAAATGAGAGCTCACAGTTGACTGCAGATGTGTTGGTTTGTCTATGGGCTGGACTGTTCTCGTCTGCGTGCTGTCTGCTGCTTGTAGAAGGCCGCTGGAACCCTCATCCTGACACAACACAATCACATTAAGAAGAGAGGAGTCAAGTCTGTAGAAGATCAACGCTAATAAAGTCTGACGTGTCCATTAGTCATCCGTACATCAGATTGGAATTTAATCACTTATGTCAATCCTTACTGCCAGAGGCGCTTAAAACACAGTAGTGTTGCCATAGTGACTGAGAGCATGAAGTTTATTCCTCTACTAACAACCAACAGCAAAGAATGCAAAGTTCAGAGTAGGTCATAGGTTTAAAATGTATGTCTGTAAAGCAGAATTGTATTTTAACAGTAACACTGCTCTTTATGTTTTTAACTTAGAGTCTTTACCATCCATGTATTTATCATTTCAACAATGCTCAGTTAGATTCTGAAACTTACAATCTGGAGTTTCTGGAGCTCATTCAGGGCTTGTTTGTTCCCTGGTTCCAGTTTCAACACCTCCTGGAAATCTGTAAGACACACACACACACACACACACAATGTAAGACAACTTGTTCAACTAGTTGAACGTTTGCATGTTTAGTTAGTTTGTTTCGGATTGAACAGAACTTCTACACATAACTGTGAACTGGCTTAAAATACAATAATTTCTGCAACATAAGGAAAGATGAAAATGAAAGCAACTACAGAAGCACAGATCATCTAGAAGAATACAGATAGATATGTGACAGATTTTAGTCTTCCAGGTGTTAAAAAAACAGACTAAATGTAGTTGCTGCTGACAGTGTTGTTCTGTACAGCACCTTGTTTGGCCTCCTGCAGTTTCCCTAAAGCCACCCTGGCTGTGGCACGACGGGCGAAAGCCTTGGAGTAAGTACTGTCCAGAAAAATGGCTTTGGTGCAGTCCTCCTCTGCCTCCTTGTACCTGCAGCAAACAGAAAGGGTCATTTTTGAATCTCCTTCTAGCAGAGAGCCTTTTCACTCTAACAATTAAAACACGCTAGAGAATTAAATGTTTGTGCTTACTTCTCCAGCTTGAGGAAGGCCATGGCTCTGTTGGCGGGCAGTAAGACGTTCATGCTGTCCGCCTCCATGCCTCTGCTGTAGCACTCAACAGCCGCTTCATACTTCCCCTCTTTGAAATAAGCATTCCCCTGAAAGGCACATTCAGAAAACATCACCACTGAAAATGTCCCTGTGTGCCAAACAGGGCGGAAACTTATCTTTAGTGGATAATTGGATAACACCCTTTTGTCTGATCTCAAATGTTCAAATGTTTGTGTTAAATGTGTAGTATTTGTACTTACTTGTACTTAATTGATATGCAGTAAACTGCTGCATGATGAATAATAAACTTATAATACATGAGTGAGTATGTTTGCTTAATTACCACACACTATGGGGTTCTCTTAACAGAAAGGGACTTAACACAAAATGACAAAAGCCTCTCACACTTGAGCTGAGAAAAGCGTTAAACCACAGCAAAGCTCACTCTGTCCTTTTGCATAACCGCCTCCTGTCGTCTCTGCTGCTCCTCCACCAGTCTCTGCTGCTCCTCCACCAGTCTCTGCTGCTCGGGGGCCACTGTGGGAGCCTCCTGCGGCTGTGTGGATTCGCTCGGGACGGCCGGTGCCTGTTGTCCGAGGATCTAAAACCAGTCACATAAAGGGAGTAAATAAAAGAGAAGAACACTTGCGAAATCACCCCAGAATGATCATTTCATACTCACCTCTTTGATTTTTTTCATTTCATTCTGTGCTTCCACGTTCCCGGGGTCAAGCTTGAGAACCATCTCGTAATCTGTTCAGAGACAAATCCGTGCTGTTATCTCTGCGCTTTCCAGTTCAAACAGACAATCGAATCTATTTAAAATTCTTTTAAAAGTTTGTCACCTTCTAACGCGGATTCACATTTCTCCAGTGCAAACCGCGCTGCTCCTCTTCGTGCATACGCTTTGAAGTAGTTGCTGTCCAGAGCTATCGCCAAGTTGCAGTCGGACTCTGCCACAGCATACCTGCACAGAACGACGCCGCAGTGATTTACATGGGAACAACACAGGAAGACAGCGTACACATCCACCTTAATGTCACATTTATGGAAAAACACTCAACACAGGAGCCATGCGACCTGTGCTGTTTACTTTTTGAGTCTGAAGAAGGAGGTGGCTCGGTTTGTGGGAAGCACAGGGTTGTAAGGATCTGCATCCATCCCTCTGGTGTAACACTCAATGGCCTCGTCGTACTTCCCGTCTTTGAAAAAAGCGTTACCCTGAAAATAAAAGCACGACCTGCTTTTAGGAAAGGCTCTCTTTCATCCTCTCTTTTTTTGGAGCACGTCTCATACGGCGTCTACCTTTTCTTTCGCAGCCAGCGCTTTCTCTCGATCAACTTCCTCAGAGTCTGACTCGTTGGACTCTGCGGGACTTTCCTCCTTATCCATCTCCGACAGGGCCTTGTCCTGCGAGCACAGAAGCATCAGTCTTCAGTCAACTGCTTCACCACTTCAATCACGTTACATTTATTTTACAAGAACGCATTAGCTACCACATCGAACTTGTCCCACGATCGGTAGTCGTATGCTTTTATCCTTGAGGCTTCCTTGGACTCGTCTCCCTTTGCGTCTCCATTGCCTCTCGGCTCCTTCTTCTTCTTCTTCTTTTCCCTCATCTTTGTTTTGTAGTCCTTGTTGCGCACAGGTGGGAGCTTCTTCTACAACACAGAGACAACAAGCTGCTGACACCTGCAGATCATCCAGTGCATTACCTGCTCCTCAGATGGATGGATGTCTACAGCAGGGACAGACCTGGACCTCCTGAAGTCCTCCCGTCTTCAGCTCCTCGTCCTTCTTCTTGATGTCGCTCTCCCAGCTCTCCAGCTCCTTCATGAAGCTGTGCATGTCCTCCGCATTGTGCCGCATCTGAAGCTGTAACTCAATGGCTTTGTTTCCCCCGGACATGTTATTCCCTGTGAAACAGACATTTGTTTTGGACACTTTCTTAACACTCCTTGCTGTAGTTGTTGTCTTGAAGTTTGTGCGGCAGCCAAGAGGGAAAACACGAGTATCACGCTGCCATGCTTTTGGGGGCTAGCAGCTAGCTAGCTAGCATAAACACTAAACATTAAGGGGAAATAAAGTAAATGGAAGAGACTCTGTAGCTACTTGAACCTTGTAAAGTACCTGTCACTTCTTTCTCCGGCGGATAATTGCACTTTAAATGTAGCTACGGTTAATTTGGCTGTATACTAACGTTAGAACAGAATGTGTCGTGAATCATAGGTTTCTGTTTACGTTCGGAGCCATGACAGCCGAGTACCAGCAGCCTCTGCGCCTGCGCTGGGCGTAACCAAAGATCGTCTATGTTACGACAGATAACTTCCTCCAGACACATTTTACGTGCTTGTCAATTTGTAAAAGCCGCCTAAATCATTTTTTGGTTCCACCTACGGGTTGCATACATACACAATTTAAACAATGTCCATTTGTCGTGTCAAAAATTGTAATACAGTCAGTCAGTGTAATTGCACTGGGAACTGCCCTTTCTAGGTTTTGTTTTGGTCCACATATCCCGCTTCGAGTTTACAACTTGTCTACGCATATATGAATAGACGATCTATGGAGTACTCCTATCTCTAACAAAACGCATTTTATAGAATTTTAAATATAACGTTAAATAAAGTTATATATCTTGACTTCGTGTAAAAGGGCGATGCCAGCAAAACAATGAAATAATATAATAAATATTGCAATTCGTTACCTTTGACCCAACACCACGTGATCTACAAACCAGCGATGATGACCTCTCTCGTTAGCTAGCGGTAGCTAACCTAATACATACATGTAGCTGACCAGGGGGGACGTATGCAAACCTTAACATTTCCAAACCGTACGGCAGAAAACATTTCATACAATGGACCAGACTAAACAAGAGGAGGAATATGGATACGACTTATTCCCGGAGAGGAAGACGGGAAAGTACAGGAAGGGAACAATAGCGGAGAGCCTGTTCACTTTCAACCACAAGTGTCAGGTCATGTTACAGTTCGCAATGGAGACTAGTGAGTACAGCTAGTTTCCATTTCATTTTAAAAGCAATGTCATCTCACCAGTGACCAGCGGATACATTGTGTGCCTCAGAGGTTTCTCTGAAATGTGTTTGTGATTGGAAATACCCGTGCAATGTTACTAAGAGATAGCTAAATACATGTATATCTAACGTGTACAGCGGTATCCAGCTGTAACGGGTCTCTGTGCTTCTCCCAGGTCCGTATGCCAAACTCCTCCTCAGTGCCATGAAGAGTTCAGGGTGGTACGTACAGTGTTTAAATCAAATACACGTGTATATGTCACTGTTGACTGTTCACTGTAACTCTCATATTCCTGCAAACAACCTGCAGACTGTTTACTTGTTTACTCGTTTACACAGGACTTCTGAACAGATTTTGCAAACGCTACTACTGCTGTAATGACTTAATAATAATCATTTCTGTACACCCAAATACGTTAATTCATGAAAAGCCATTTTTGAAGCAAAGCCTTGAAATTGCTGTTTGGATAATGAAAATTAATAATATAAATTGAATAAGGCCTTTTATCTTACATGTTCAGAGCCTCCAATGTACATGCAACAAAGTGCACATTCCTAGTTAATATTCCAGTTGCCAGCATATTACTGAGCCCTTTCTCTAATGTTGCTTATTCTGATTATGTTGTGATGATTTCCACCTGTTCTCCTTCCTCCCAACTCAGCCAAGTGTTTAAAGACCGTCACTTCTCCTGTGAGGATTGTGATGGGACGGTCAGCGGCGGCTTTGACGCAGCTTCTTCTCAAGTAAGGAAGAGATCTTGTCAGCACTAATAAAGATGAAGCACGTTCTGAAGACTTTGGCAGAATTTGGCTGTTAAAACTGAATGAGATTTGTGTTTGTGTGCAGATCGTTTTGTGTCAGAACAACATCCACCAGCAGTCCCATATGACCCGAGTGGTCACACATGAGCTCATTCATGCCTTCGACCACTGTCGGGCCCACGTGGACTGGTTCAACAACTACAAACACCTGGCTTGTTCTGAGGTGAGTCCCAGCGTGCTGCATTTACTTGCAGTGGTAACTTTGCTTATCGTGTGCTTCGATTTAGTTTAGTTTGCAGCTACACACAAGAAGCAAACGTGTATTGTTACTGTCCTTTGATACCAAAATGGAACCAAAGTGCAGGGAACAACTCGCAGTCATATTTCCACGTTACAGTAATAAACTTAATATGGCAGTAAGGCAGGAAATTTAAATTTAGTTTTGTATTTTTGTCCTTTAAAGAATAAGTCTGGCAACACCTGCCTAAAGCTCATTGGTTCTTACTGTAAAAGTAAATATTTAAAAGCATTTTACGAATATATATACTTTACATATATACATAAAAAGATGTTGACTAGTTTCCTAAAATGTTTTGATGTTTGATGCTTAAACTAGTAAATACTGCAGTTGTTTGGGACTATTTTCAGCAGCGGATGGATATACATTTGTCGCTTTAGGGAGTATTTACAGCATAGACAGACTTTTCTTTTAAACTTCCTTTATAGATCCCTTGAAATCACACAGTTTCCTTCCATTATATGATGTGTTTCCTAATGAACAGGAGGTTAGAGTTTGATTGACACTTGAGTAAAGTCATCCACATTAAATTTCTCCTCCAATTTCATCGTTTGAATCTTTTGTTGGAGCTAAAAAATAATGTTGTAAATCCTGTTCCCAGGTTTTTGTTAAACTTTTTAAGAAACAAATATCCTGCTGACCTAAATGTTCTGTTTGCAGATTATTATCAACGTTTTTTTTGTCATTATTTCAGATTCGGGCAGCTAACCTCAGTGGAGACTGCGCTTTTAACAATGAAGCCGCCAGATTTAACTTCGGCTTGAAGCAGCATCATCAGGTACCTGCACTGGGATGAATCTAACTTTTACCGGCAGGTTTCAGGTTTGTCAAAATGTTTTTCCCTTGTACAGGAGTGCGTCAGGGGCCGCGCCCTTCGCTCCATCCTGGCCGTGAGGAACATCACTCGCAAGGAGGCGGAGAAAATAGTGGATGAAGTCTTTGACACGTGTTTCAACGACCACGCGCCGTTTGGACGGATCCCGCACACCAACAAGGACGCTGGGTTTGCCTACAAAGATCATCAGAACAGAGATCGATATTATGCAAACCTTTAGCGTCGTCACATTCTCGTTTAACTCCCCCCAAGGGTGCTGTGACTGGCAGCGACGCTGACAGGAGCTTGGCAGCGTCAGTGCCGTGGTCACCGTGAAAGGCCTCAACAGAATGACAGCGTGTCGAAAAATGATCGTATCCCTTCAGAAGGGATTTTCAGAGAGTGATTTGTCCTTGGAACAGGAAAGCGAAGGAAGGAGCTACAGTACATTTCATTTTCTACCTTCCGGACACTAATTCTGTATAAAGAGATTGTATGGAGTGATTTTGCTCTGTAAGTAAAGTATTAGTGGAGGCCCTAGTGATTTATTTGTCATTTGTTTTTAGGTGGATTATGGGTGCTTTTAAGGAAATACAGGATTTCCTTTGACTGTCTGCTCTTCATCTTGTTGCCACATTGACCTCCACTGATTTCTTGTAAAAAAAAAAAAGAAAAGCTGATTGTACTTAAATTAAACAGAATCAACTTGTGTTTGATTTAAGGAGATTCCTCTAAAAGACCTTATTTGTGAGGACAAGAGGGGGGGGTTACGTTCGACCTTGGCCCAAAATTTTTTGAATTAATGACTTTCCAAAAGAAGCGTAAGTAAGCGTATTGCTGATTATAACACATTCATGTCTAATCCCGAGAGAGAGAGGATTCTTCAAATTAACATGTGAGACGAGTCATATGAGTAAAGTGAGAAAAGTTCTTCGACAACAACACGGTCAACTTTGTTCACATCTGTGCTGCCACTGTAAAATGTCACTGCTGACATCTTTATTGGACATTAGCATTTAAAGAATCTCGTATCCCTCCGCTGAGATTAATGAGGGAAAAAGTTATAAGGGAATTAGCCTCATAATCCCCCCCCCTCCCCTTCCTCCGCCTCCACTTCTGCCTATCTCAAAGACAACACCCTCCGCATCATAATCACAAAGTCACTTGGTGTGTCTGCCGTTGGAGTGTAATATGCCACTTATCTCGACGCTCTCCTCTTAGAAAACACTACAAAAACATGATATGAGCGAGTGGGCTCCGACAACAAGGCGAGTGGGTGGGATGGGACGAGCAAAGAAGATTAGGTTAATTTTAGAAGCTTAACAGAGGAAATGATGAAAACGCCTTCAAGGCAGCGGGATTAATGTGAGACAAACACAAGAAGACAAAAGAAGGGAATGATATTTGGATTTGTGCAATGTCATACTCTAAAGCCGCTAAATAAAGAAATCATACTAAACAATAGAATTACAGAATTACTGCTGGAATTGTGCACATATCAAATGCCGGCTACTAAACACATTTGATACAATTAGACACGCATAACAAGGTTGTGAATTTGTAAATTGGCTTAATTCATTATGTGGTACTGAGTTCAGCAGCCAGGATTTAGGTAATACAGAAGTCACAAGTCCAAGTCCTTGCAACAAACCCACATACATTGAAAGGTGGGGTAAGTGACTCCGGAGAAATGCAATACCATGACAAATACCATGATAAAGTGCAAACAACGGCACAGCAAGAGGACCTGGGGGCGCCTGGATAGGTCACCTGGTAGAGCCACGCCATGTACCAAGGCTGAGTCCCTGCTGCAGCAGCCCAGGGTTCAAA